CGGCTTGTGCTAATCGGCAGATTACGTTATTTCCGTGATCGGTGACTAATTGCCTTCAAAATGAGAAGACAATTAACCGCGCTCGAGGATGTACAGGTGACGATTTTTTTTGCAACTCTGTGGCTCTCCCATTTCCTTCCAGACGATCGATTTTTTTCTAATCTGATCGGCTGCCCAAAACTTTCGACACCACAATAAAAAGGGCCTAGGTATATGGTGGGAGTACTTCACAAGGTCCAACGATACCCTCCTTATGTTAATCTGCCGCGCTCGAGTAAATCCCGAAATCCTCGCTTGGGCTCCCCTACTATTGGAGAATAGGAGTCTGATTTGGATGATTTCGTAAGGTACAGGTTTCAATGAAAACCACATTCTGATTGGTTAGTGCAGTTGCAGTGGTGAATAGTTAATTGGCTAGTTTCGAAACCAGAAGTTGATATTGGGCTGTTGTGACATTTAGACATTCTATCAACAATAAAACAAAACTCCTGATGTCATGCCATGAATGATTGTTATTGAAATCTTAGATGCTTCTTTATTTCTGTGTTCAGGATACTTTGGGCTTGTTGCATGACGCATTTGACAAAATAACAAATATTGGATTTATGTCCATGGTAAGTTATTCCCAAAGAATTATCGAAAATATTATCTGAGCAAACTTAACTATCACTTTGCATCAAATTAATGTTATGATTGAAAATGCCACATTTTTGAAGATTTCCTCTCCTCGTTTTTACGAATGAAAATTTGAGTATTATTTCAATATAGAGGTTTGATTGTCAGTGACATATTACTAAGTATGTTTGATGGAGAGGAATAAAATTTTCAATTTTGGTAACCAAAAATCTCTGATTCTTGTGCACAGTAGGTAAGCATAAGCGAAGTATATGTATAGTGTCCTGAAATAGAAAAAAAAACGTTTTCAAACTGACAATACCGGGTGTCTCAAGTTATCGTACACCAGGCAATCTCTCGCTCATTTGACAGGATAATTGAAAAATACAGAAACTGCTTTGAATGGCATCGATGTACTTAACTCATGACATAAAGAAGTCTATTAAATTTTACAGTTCTCTGGCAGCTATCTTCCACTTTTCATTTCCGAATGGCACCTCCTGCATATTGTCATTGAAAATTGCGTGCCATCCTATAAGGGAAACAACGATAGCATATACTTGGTATTGTTATATTATTATAACGAAAGCAGCAACATTCAATGAAGTATGAATTCCAACTAAAATAGCTTTCATGCGAATCAAAAAATGAACTAAAGATCACAACAAAATTATTATGACATGAGAAGCATCGGCTTCTTGAAACAAAAAACATTTGCGGAGGCAATATTTCATTTTCATTAGGATAATTAAGTAACTTGAAACAAGTCACACAATGTTTATATTATTGATTTCAATGGAAAAATACCAAGAATTCCAAATTGAATGACAACGTTATATTCAATGACAATATACATGCCATTTGAAAATAAAATGTGAGGGGTAGCTGCCAGAGAACTGTCAAACATGAAGGATTTTTTTATATGTCATCAGGAAGGTACTTCAATGTCATTCAATAAAATTTTTGAATTTCTCAACTATTTTGTCAAATAAGCGAGATACGATAACTTGGGACACCCGGTATATCGAATATTATTAATTTATCTCAGTAAACGAATCAATCGGAACTCAACGCAATAATTGAATTGAGAAAATTGTTTTTCCTTGTGATTTGTAAATCGAAGAACCAAACCGAAAACTAAAACACATCAACGTCAACTCAAACTCACAGAACTCATACTTACCGCTTTTTCAGCAACCAAGTTCCGTAAATAACAAACCAACCGAACATTTAAAATTTACGGAACGGAAAATCACTAACAGAAATAACCAAGTTGATCTACGGAACATACCCAGTGTCCATCATGATGTTCGTCTCTGAAAAACGGATCATATTGATGGTTATTCACACCAGTCCAGATTTCGCACGATTAATAGTTGAGATATAGAGGGAAGGCGTTTTGAGTGAGACACGCTGTATATCATGCCATCCACTCTTTCGAGCAATCGACTTTATTTCTCATTGTTTCCATCACAAGTGGAGATTGTTCTATTCCGAGGAACGGATCAGCAAATTGATCGAAAACGTCGCAGCATCGTCCTTGTTTCATTCGAAAGCCTTCACAAACTTCCTCGTTGAAAATCCATTCCGAAGAACCGAGAGCGATTCTTCCGATGTTTGAAGTTGCGCTCTATTTGGTATTTATACAGAGTGATCCATAATGCATTACACAACTGGTGCACGTTTGAAGTTGCGCTATATTTGGTATTTATACTGTGAAGAAATACGAACGCCAATAGAATAACATCACTCAAACTTGCGATTATTACAAGATCGTCAATTATGAATCAACTTTTCCAAATTGAAACATCCAGTACAGTGTAGTATCGATCAGGTCAGTGGAGTTCATAGACGTCCAGTTCCTGAAGAATTTGCAAAAACCGCTTACCGTGCGATAATACCTAGGTAATGGTCATTCCCATTGCGGAAAATTGCAAACCTCTAGCATCGATTCCGAATATAAATACTACCCGAGTCGATAAGTCATCATTATTATTAATACAAGTCATTAGTAATAATCTCCCCGACTTCAATCCTGTTGTTCAACGTTGTAATGTAAGTACTGTTTTTTTCAAGCGTTGTTTTGCGTTGTGAAGTTGGATGCACAACGCATATATGAGAGACTCATTTCATAAGAATAGTATACAGTGTGTCCCACTTACCATGCTCACCATGGGTATCTTTTTAACGGTGCGAGATACGAGGTCGGTTAAGTGACACCAAATGTGGAGTTTGTCAAGGCCAACTATAATGTGAAATGATATTCTGATAAAATCTATTCGTTTTTGTTTTATGTGCAAAAAACAGATTTTGATCATTTTCATGTCTTCTCCGTAACTTCTTTATTCATGAAAATATTCAAATAGGAATTTCCCATTCTCGTGGCAGTTTTTCAAAGTGACTTCGAAAAAAATATGAAATTTATATTAACTCTTCTAGAATTTGAGATATCAGCACCAACTATTGTTTTTTAAATGTTTGTCATAGCTTATACTATGACTTAGTTACAAATAACTTTTTTTCTCTTACAGATGATATTTCGCAGTAATAGTTTTGTGTTGATAACAACAGAGTTATCGCCATTCATACAAAAACAAAAAATTATTTGGAAGCCGCCATCTCGAATTTATAAATTTCAACAAAAAATCATGATCTCCGACCTGAAAAACCCCCACTTACCAATTTTGAATGGAATCGGACCAAATCTTTTCCGCCATCTTGGAGCAGCCATTTTTTTAATTTCAGCAGAAATTCAATAATGTATTGTCACCGAAATTATGAACACCTGCTAAATTTCAAATTAATCGGAGTTATTCTTGTCCTTGTCTCTCAAAACATATGATGTGCTTCAAAATGGTTTGTGGTTGTGTTTGATTGTCACTGTTTATCTATAGTGTCCGTACGCTTTTATACAAAAAACGTCAAAACAGCAGTGTCAAGTACATTTAGGAACTCTAATCAACCCCAGGGCAGTTTCAACAAATATTTTTTCCAGGTGGAGCAACATGGTTTTATCAATATCTGGAGAGACAGATCGTGTTCGCCTGCCGAGACCCAGTTTTAATAGATAATTATCACCTGTTGAAGTCGTAACTTCCACCTCAGGCGAATTTATGACAGGCAATATCAATTTGGGATGTCATATTCGATATTAGACGAGCACTTAACTCATAGAAATTCCTTCGAAATATTCAGCATTGAATTATTATTCGATAAAGTTCTATTGCATCGTATGAATATACCGAAGGATCGAAATTATCTTCATCAGAAGTTGTCATAGACGTTTCATTCATCAATACGTTCACAAGCCCCCAGGAAAAAATACTTCGAGAATTGTTTGGCACCAAAGACTGCTCCATTAACTGATATCATACGGCTTACTGCCTCAGCTATGTCATTTTTTATCGAGTTTTATTTCAGGCAGATCGCTCCATGTGGTGGTGGTCACAGTATCGTCTGATACCATTATTGCCATCAATTCTGGCGTTCCACAAGGATCCATTTTTATCACCAACAGTGTTTCTACTTCATATCAACGATCAATTGGGAGCAATCACATGCACTTTCCACAGCTTTGCAGACGATAGTACTCTCAATACTGCGTTCTCTTCTAGAATCCTCATTTCTTCCTAGGAAACTTAAAACTCATGAGGAAGGCAGGCCAATATTGTCAATGAAGCTCTAGCGGAAATTACAGCCTGAGGAACCAACAACCTAGTTGAATTCAACGCCACTGAAACTCAAGCCTGTATTTTCTTTAGGAAGGCGGAACTCAGTATGCCTGATATAATAATGTCTGATTTCAACATTCTCACCAAGGCCACTATATCTATGTTAGGTATCACCATCAGCAATACTCTCTCATATGAAATCATGTCTGATTCATCGCTGAATCTGCTTCAAAAAAACTCTTGTTCCGTGTCAAAATCTACTTTACACCTCAACAGCTTCTCATGATCTACAAAGCACAGAGACGAACAGTTTGAGAATATTATTCTAATTCATCCAGAGACGACCCATTCGCCTGGTAGGTGATGCCACACTCACTAACTCTTCGACCCGATAAGAACACCGTAGAAGTTAGAAGGGTCGGCGACCTTTTATTTTTCTGAAGATACGCCCACGGGAACTGTTCCTCAAAAATATTTGGCATAAAATTCCATCACTAGCAATACCAGTCAGACGAACTCGATAGGATCCTTCCGTCATTAACCTTGAAATATGTCAAACAACCAAAGTCTACCAAAACTTCATGAAAAATTTCAACACCAACCTAATCTTCCTGTCCACCCTTGGTACGCCCGATGTTCCACGAAAATAATAGGAATTTCCTTGCGTCCACTCCAATGGATGGAAAAAATTAAAATAAAAAGATGATCAGTTTATTATTCGTTGTACAGATCATGAATAGGACACATTATCTTCTTCTGAATTTCTTCATTTGGCACTGATACATTTTGATTCTCTTCGCAATAGATTTTCCTCTCTTCGACCATTGTATCTTCATTATCAACGTTTTCTATATCTACGGTTTCATCAGGCTCTTTTTTCGGAATCTCTTTTTCAGGAAGCTTCTCGGAGAGCAAACGAGCTTTGCAGGCTTTCAGTTTTTCTCTACCAGAATCCGTTCTATTCAACACATCAGCCATCTTTCTACTGATATATTTTGGCATCGACCAAGTACCTTGAAGATAGTAATCATAAATCAGCCAAGTAATCTTATATACAGGGTGGGCCACCAGTAACGCCTCGGTCTCTAGAAGGCTAACCACTTATCTTCTTGGAATTCTTCCTCTCTAGGAAGTTGCATGTCAACATAGGCTACCATTCAAAATTATTTCGAAACATACAGGGTGTCCCCAAAAACCATAAAACACTGAAGTTAAACTTTTTTCTATCGAACACCCTATATATTATTTCATTTTGAGATTCTCCCTGGTGAGCTGATTTCAACAATCCATCATACTTGGGGTCTAGCAGTTATAATTACTTAGATATAGGGTGTGAGAAATCGAGATTTTCCAAGTTCAAGAATTTTTTCAATTGGTCAAAACGGCTCACATGTTCCTATCTCAACTTTCAATCAACTATCTACTGACATTTAATTGAAACAAATACAGGGTGGTGCAGAATTCAGAATCTTGATCACCCGGTATATGTCCCAATTAAATATCAGTAGATAGTTAATCAAAAGTTGAGATAGGGACATGTAAGCCGTTTTGACCAATTATGAATAGTTTCGACACAAAAATTCTTGAACTTGGAAAATCTCGATTTTTCACACCCTATATTTCAGTGATTTCAACTGCTAGACCCCAAGTATGATGGGTCGTTGAAATCAGCTCATCAGGGAGAATCTCAAAATAAAATAATATATAGGGTGTTCGATAGAAAAAAGTTTAACTTCAGTGTTTTATGGTTTTTGGGGACACCCTGTATGTTTCGAAATGATTTTAAATGGTAGCCTATGTTGACATGCAACTTCCTAGAGAGGAAGAATTCCAAGAAGAAAAGTGGTTAGCCTTCTAGAGACCGAGGCGTTACTGGTGGCCCAGTGTAAATAATCCCTTTGAATGACTGGATATTTGGATGTGAATCAATCTACTGAGCGGAATCTTCGAAATGATATTCATTGAAAATTGGGTACGATTTGTCCCAATAATGACTACTTTCATTTGATTGAAGTACCTAACTCGAAATTTGGAATGGAACAAACAAGAACCTGTTTGGATGACTTCTACTCAATCAGTATTCAAGTGGTGAGATCCTGGTCGATAACTTTGCCTTATTCATCGTCTTCGTATACACAGGGTGTTCCAAAATAACGTTCGTATACTCTGGGAGGTGATTGTGCGAAAAAAAATAGTGTATTATACACGGGAAAAATATCAGATTTTAGCTCACGGTTTTTTGTCTCCCTCCGCTACGCGTCGGGAGACAACACAACCTGAAGATAAAATCTACTACTTTTTTCCCTTGTATAATAAATAACTATAATTTATCTGGAAAAGCTATAATATACGCTCACCGGCAAAATGAGCCGGCCACCAAAAAATCTGCCCAAATTGTTCAGCCTGTAACTTTTTTAATTCTCGTCCGATTTTTGTGAAATTTCGATCAGATCGTAGATTCATGTTCCGAGATGTTAGCCTAAATATTAGTGTTCCTGAAAAGCTGATGACTTGATCATTATACAGGAAAAAACCAAAGTTACTCTTCCACCCTATACTTCTCAACGCCCTGTGGCAAAATTGCGTGATTGAACATGGCTTCATTATGCTTCGGATTGAAGTGTGATCCCTTCTTAACACAAACGTTTTTGATTCACGTCAATATCTTATTTTTGAAAGAAGATAGGAGTCATTCAAGGAAGTATGGTGTTTTTCAACTTTTTTCACCAATAATCAGAACTTACATGAACTTATTGACTAACAACTTCAAGGATTTTCATCACTTATTTCTACCTTACTTCCTTAGCACTTACCGGAAAATCAATTACCAAAAACAAACAAGAAGCAGACCTGTTGTCAATAAAGAGTACCTATACTCTCCTCGATATGGAATTACAGCATTCAACCGCAGTGGCATCGAATTGATCAAATAACTCAAGTAGCCTTGAAGAATTGCCTAAAATCCTCCTTGAAGGGCATCAAATCGTAGTTCTTGAAGAGTATCTGACAAGGCTGGGCGAAGGCGAATGAGCCTCTAGAGGTCACCCCTAAGATAGGTAGATAGGTTCTGAATTATTGTTATTGATAAATTTAAAAAAATTATACTCTCTTGAAACACTTGTATTTTCTCTCGAAAAGGAGATATTGATGTTATTCAAGAATCGTTGTATGAAAAAGGAACAAAAGAGGATCTCACTTCTGGAGAATGATTCTGAATTATTGTGGATTAAAATTTTAAAAATTAATACCATCTTGACACAATTGTATCTTCCTTTAAAAAGTAATTATCAACGTGAATAAAAAACCATCATGTAGAGAAGAGATCAGTCTTCAATCTAAAACATTATGAAGCTTAGTTACACCACTCACCATTCCCTCAGGGCGTTAAGAAGTTGAGGGTGAAAAAGTACCTTTCGTTTTTCCCTGTATAATGATCAAGTCATCTTGGGAAATAATATTCAAGATAGACATTTAAAAACATGAATCTACGATTTGGTCGCAATTTCACCAAATTCGAACCAGAATTGACAAAGTTACTCTCTTGAAACACTTGTATCTTCTCTCGAAAAGGAGATATTGATGTTATTCAAGAACCGTTGTATGAAGAAGGAGCACAAGACGATCACACTTCAATTTAAAACATGATGAAGCATTGAAGCAGAAGGTTGGAGAATGGTTCTGAATTATTGTTAATGAAAATTTCAAAAATCCATACCCTCCTGAAACACTTGTATCTTCCTTGAATAAATAAAAACCATCATGTAGAGAAGAGATCACTCTTCAATCTAAAACATAATGAAGCTAAGTTAAACCACTCACCTTTCCCACAGGGCGTTAAGAAGTTAAGGGTGAAAAAATAACTTTCGTTTTTCCCAGTATAATGATTGAGTCAACAGATTTTCTTATGAACTAATATTCAGGCTAACATTTGGAAACATGAATTTACAATTTGGTCGGAATTTCACCAAAATCGGACCAGAATTGAAAAAGTTACAGAGCAATTTGGCTGAAGAATTTGGTGGCCGGTTTTTTGCCGGTGAATGTATATCAATCAATCAAATCAAATCATTTATTTTCCATAACTGACAACATACATTGTATAGGAAAGAGAAAAAAAAATAGAAAACTTACATACTAATGAGTGTATATGACAAGTAGGAATATTACGTACACAAAAACTCGTTCACAGTATAAAAAACTTTGCCAACTAAAGATATTTTGATTTGTTTTTTGAATTCTGTTTCCTTTTCACAGTTTTTTATTGATTCAAGTAATTTGTTGAATAATCTTGGCCCAATAAAGTTTGGCGATGAACTGGTAATATTCAATCTGGCAAAGGGTATCCGCAAGTTATTTTTTTGTCTCGTATTGAAATTGTGCGTATCATAATTTTTCGGTGTAACTTCTCTATTTCTATGGACAAATAAACATATCTCAAAAATGAATAATCCAGTCAGAGTTAATATGTTCAGTTTCTTGAAGAGATCTCTGCAAGAGTGTTGTCTTGGATTTCCTGTTAAGCACCTTACAATTCGTTTTTGTGCAATGAATATGTTCTTAGAATGTATGGAATTGCCCCAGAAGTTAATTCCATATCTCAAACGAGATTCCACCTGTGCATAGTAAAAGTTCATCAATTGTTCATGAGTCAAAATAGTCTTCAAATTGTATATCAAGTAATAGAATGAGTTAAGTTTAGATGTTAATGATTCACAATGTGTTTTGAAATTTGAATTCTTGTCTAGTTCAATACCCAGAAATTTCACAGTATCGCTGGTTACAAGTTGTTGACTAGATAGTTCGATAATGAAATCCTCACTGCTGTGACGTTGAGCTGTCTGAAATCTGACGATAGATGTTTTATCTGGATTGAATGATAAATTATTCGACGAAAACCATCTCATCAAAGACTCTAATATAAATTCACATTCATTTTGTAGAATATTATTGGATTTGTTCGAAATAATCAATGATATATCATCAGCATATAATGTGAAATGTGAAATGAATCCAATGGAATCGAGAATCATACCAACAAAATCTCCCCAGGGGTTGCATTGCGGCCGTACTATTCCAGGTAGGATGTGGCCTCTCGAATTAGCTATGATTTTCGTTTTGCCGCTTCTTTGAAGAGGTCGGTCACAGAATAAGTTGGGAACCTCCCAGTTCTTCAATGCTCTAGGTCTGAAAGCACTCTCGTATTGATACGCTGCATAATTCCTTGACATACTTTATTTTTTCAATAGATTCAGGTTCATCAGCAGCTTATATGGGATTAACTGGAAGTTGGACATTTCGTAGGAAAATGTGACATTGACATCACCTGACATAATTGACTCTAGGTATCTTCCAGCGAGATGCAAAAATACCCGCTTTGTACGAGATGGATGAAGGATATTGCGCAAGGCCACTGGACTATAGATAGATAAATAAACTAATAAATCAACACTAATTTCGTCGCACACCAAAATGTCGCCCCTGTTATAATGTGAATAACTTTTTTCAGTTTAGAACAATTTGAATTTGGATCACACTGTTCGATATCCCAGTCCTTCAGCTATAATCTCGTACTTCATTGAAACATAAGGGAATTCACATAAAATCTCTACATGGTGTTTTCCGACACTGTGCGAAATTTCGCAATATTCAAAGGGCTCTCAAATGGTGAAAAAAATTTTTTTCTCAACTTCGACAACAAAGGCATGAAGATGATCTCATTACCTCGAGATATTTCGCGAATTAACTCCCTATCTCTCTTATTTACAGAGTGATCTCAAAAAATCAACTTTTTGGTTTTACAGCCATAACTTTTTTCCACGTCAACCGATTTTGGAAATCTTAGACTCATTTTGGAGATAAAACTTCAGATGAAGAGATCTGAATATCAGAATTGACTCAAGATGGCTATCAAAGATCAAGAGTTTTCTTGAAAGTGACCCAAATCTGGAACGCCCTTCGAATCTTGGTTGGGAGGAGAATTGAATGAAAATCAACTTGTTCTCGAAAAAACAATTCATTCTGGATGCGTCCATATTTTCCTCGCTCTCAGTAGTCAAGAATTGTGCGTGAGAAAACACAATTGAAACATGTTCTTGCAAAAACATTAGATAATTTCTCCTCTGTAATGCATGACCCGCCGTAACCAACGTTACAAGAATCACAATGAGTGACTGACAAACCCGACCAGCTGAGGCTCATCATAAATGGTGTACCAACAAGAGCAACGGATTTTGATTTTTTCAATAAAGTGATTTTTTTTACAGTTGTCACGTACATAACATGCGCGATTCAAGAATATGGAGAAGTATTCAAGCAAACGCTCACGCACATTCTTGAGTACTGAGAGCGAGGAAAATATGGACGCATCCAGAATGAATTGGTTTTTCGAGAACAAGTTGATTTTCATTCAATTCTCCTCCCAACCGAGATCCGGAGGGCGTTCCAAATTTGAGTCACTTTCAAGAAAACTCTAGATCTTTGATAGCCATCTTGAGTCAATTCTGATATTCAGATCTCTTTATCTGAAGTTTTATCTTCGAAATGAGCCTAAGATTTCCAAAATCGGTTGACGTGGAAAAAAGTTATGGCTGCAAAACCAAAAAGTTGATTTTTTGAGATCACTCTGTAAAAAAGAGAGATAGGAAGTTGATTCGCGAAATATCTCGAGGTAATGGGATCATCTTTATGCCTCTGATGTCGAAGTTGAGAAAAAAATTTGTTTCACCATTTGAGAGCCTTCTGAATATTCCGAAATTTTGCAGAGTGTCGGAAAACACCATGTAGATATTTTATGTGAATACCCTCATGTTTCAATGAAGTACCATATTATAGATGAAGGACTGGGCTATCGAACAGTGTGAACCAAATTCAAATTGTACCGAACTGAAAAAAGTTATTCGCATTATAACAGGGGCGACATTTTGGTGTGCGACGAAATTAGTGTTGAGTAGTCGATAAGCTTTATTGTCTGAAATGAACACATTTTATCGACAAACTCAATATCTCGCGATACATTGATTGCGAGACATGAATAAATAAAATAGAATAAAAGAGGAATATATAAAAATAACATAGAAAAAAATATATAAAATAACCTAGAACAAGTATCTTCATTATTACACAGAACATGTCTCTTTATAATCAATAATATGAATCTATAATAATTCTCACATATCATAGAAGTATACTAGAATTTGTAGGCTAAGTGTTCGTCTAAACTATACAAGCATTTTCCCACTTACATATCTTTGACAGATTACCGGAAGTGTTTCAAATCATTGATTATCTTTTTACTCCTATAAATCAAGGATTGTCTTGTTGATGATAAATCAGGCAGAGGAAGAGCAAGGTTTCTTTTATTACGCGTATTCTTGTCTATGTTTGTGTTCATGAAATTTCCTTTATATTTTTGTGGAGCAGACTGTTTCTAAAACAAGAATTTCAAAGACCGTCAATACCTTATTATTGCGAAAAATTGGCCTGCATGAGTCACGCGTCTTAAGTTTGAATACAAATCTCAGATCTCGTTTTTGAAGGACGGAAACACTATTCACAGCTACATCCCAAGAATCAAATTCCATACCTCAGATGCGATTCAATAAGTGGGTAGTATGCCGATATTGAAGCTTGTAATCCGAGTTCACGAAATATCAAATTGATTGCGAAGCAACCGGAGGATATATTTCTTTAAGAGCTGATATATGCCAAACTTGAAATTGCTATCTATGTGAACACCAAGAAAATTCCTGACATACTTGCTCTCAATGAGTTGATCTCCTAGCGTAATTTGTTCAACCTCAAACTTGAATGTCACTTAATTTGTTTAAGAAACATTAAAAGTTAGCATATTAGCTTCACACCAACTTTCAATTTTTCCAACGTCCACTGAAATAGACTGAGCCAAACTAGCTCGATCTTCGTTATGCCAGAGAATCGTGGTATCATCTGCAAATATAGTTAGGTGCCCAGAAATATCTAGACTAACCATATCGTTGATATAAATCAAGAAGAGAATTGGACCTAGAACTGACCCCTGAGGGTCAGAAAGAAGTGGCTTGAGAATGTATAGGTAATTTTATTTCAACTTTCTGAACAACCACGATGAGTCGGAAAAACGAACTATTGTTTATAACTTGAAAACAAAATGAGTTTGCGAATTTTTCCTCCCACCAATGAGTTCGTCTCGAATAAGAGATCAAGGATGTCATTCACATACACTCAGTTCCAAAAAAAGTGACGCACTTGATATTTTACCTATCTTATTAAAAAAAAATAGTTGGTCGATTTTTATTTTTTTCAATTGTTGGTAGGTAATGCATTTGTCTTTAAAAAAAAATAAGGAGGTGAAAATTTTTTCGAAGCCTCCTTGATGGTGGTGGAATAACTCGAACCATGATTTATTCTTGATTTTTGACTCACCCTGTGTGTTAATTGAGTAATGACATAGAAAATGCTTGCACCCTTTACGAAAGAGGCTTCTTTCGCGAGAATTTTGTTTTTTTATTCATTGATTTATCTCTAAAATTTTCCAAATTACAGCTTTTTTTGCTTAATCCTTGCAGATTACCAAATTTCTGAATTTATCGAGAAACAATTTTCTAATGAAATAAACTGATACCAATTATTTTGAAAAACATTTTAATTGAACACAAAATTATAAATTGGGATGACTGCTTAATACCGTGTATTGCCTCCTCTAGCTTCTAATCTACGAGGCATACTGGAAATTAAGTTGCTTATCGTTTCCATTGGTATACGATCCCATTCTTCCACTAATGCATCTGCCATTTCTGCGAGACTTTTCGGAGACCTCTCGCGAGAACGTAACCTTCTCCCTAATTCATCCTACAAATGTTCTATAGGAATCATATCGGGGCTTCTCGTAGGCCATTGTAATATGGTAATACCAGTAGCTTCTAAGAAGTTTCGCACTATTGCTGCGGTGTGTGGTCGGGCATTTTCCTACATCAATATAAAATTATTGCCCACTAACTCTGCATAAGGTAAGACATACTGCTCTAAAATTTCAATGTAAATTTGGGCATTCATCGACTGCCTCATCTTAAAAACATGAAGATGTGTCTTTCCATTCATTGAAATCCCTCCCCACACCATAACGGACCCACCATTGAAACTTTCGCATTCTGTTATTAAATTTTGATCAAACCGTTCACCAGTTCTTCTCCACACTATTTTTCTTCCATCCACCATGTTACGGCAAAACCTTGACTCATCCGTAAACAAGACATTCGACCATTTGGGACGTTTTGCAGGTCTCCTAGCTTACAAATTAACTTCTTTTGGACGCCTACATACGGTCTGCTTACTTACTGCAACATCACGAATTTGGCGAAGATCTTGCTGAACCTTTACTGCAGTATTTGATCGATTCCGTAAGATCCGCAATCTCAAGAAGCGATCATCTCTTGGAGTTTTTCGGGGGCGACCAGAACCGACCCTCCTAGCGGTGCTTCCTGTTTGTTCGTACTTGCGGATTGCTCTACGAGCAGTTGCTTCATGAACTCCCACTGCACGAGCGGCGTAACGTTTACTACGCCCATCGTTTACTAAGGCAACTCATCTTGCTACTAGTTCAAGATTTATTTGAGGCATTTTATGTAATTTCAGTCAATAAAACAAGACACTTAATTAATGACACAACGACAAATAGTCAAATATGGAGGCATACAACAAATTAGTTGCTATGGCAACGGCATTTGTTTTTTTTTAAACAATGTGATCCTACCAAAGTACAACCCAATCAATTTTGAGTACTCTGATCCTTCAATAAATTCAATTTGTGGGATAAGCGTAAGGTATCAGCAAAAAAGCTGTGATTCGGAAAATTTCAGAGATAAATCAATGAATAAAAAAACAAAATGCTCGCAAAAGGAGCCTCTTTCGTATATAGGGTGTAAGCACTTTGTATATACCATAACTCAATTAACACACAAGGTGAGTCAAAAATTAAGATTAAATCATGGTTCGAGTTAATCCACCACCATCAAGGAGGCTTTGAAAAAATGTTCAACTCTTTATTTTTTTTTAAAGACCTACCAACAAATGAAAAAAAAATCGGCCTAATATTTTTTTTTGTTTTTTAAGAAGATAGGTCAAATATCAAGTGCGTAACTTTTTTTGGAACTGAGTGTATTTTGTATATCCTTTAGTTAACAAGTAATTCTAAGAAATTATTGAAATTTGCCCACTCTCTACCTACGCTAACACA